TGTTTAAACTCTAGGGATTGCCAACACTGCAAAAAGGGAGAAGAACAGGGGTGCAAAGCAACTTGATGCATTGATGAAAGTATGTCCTTAACTTCTAAATATTTCATGTTATTCTATGTCTCGTTTCAACATATATATTCTATTATAGAAAAAGTTGGTGAAATTTGACATGGTAGATCTTTTCAGGAACTGGCTGTTCCTTTGAGAACGTTAGTGGAGAATTTTCCAAGAAAACATATTTCATCCCTATGAAAGGTCTCTTGTTGAATTGACTCTTGGAGATGGATATTATGAAATGGTATATAAGGAAAATTGCTTTGCAGCAATTAGAACATTTGTTGTTGGACTTCCATTGCCATTGTAAATGCTCTAAGTACAAATTTGATGACCATGGATTTTTAATTTTGTTCTTTTAGACATTTATCACATTGTACAATATCATGCTTCTGTTGACTGTGGATATACTATTTAGTAGGTCTTGGGAAAGGTAGATGCTTTAAGAAAGAAGGTAGTATCTGTTGGCAAGGAACATGCTTCACTTTGCGCTAAGGTTTGTCTAGTAACTCACGTATTGCTGATGATGAAATTTAAGTTTATTTGGTTTTGTATGCATAGGATCAATTTTTTAACTATATGGATATCAAGTAACTTTAAAGTTCTACAGGATTAGACTCTAGATGTTGATTTTAAGTTCAACATACGTCTGGAATTTTTCTTTTTTATATATGATTGATCTAAAGTTTTTAAGCGTTATTTATATCTTCATGGCCTTGTTTCATTAAAAAGCAGCAATGATGGCTAATATGTGTTTTAGTTTTTGTTTGAGCATGTTGCTTTCTTTCAGAAAATTAATGTTTTGTAGGTTGGTCAAAAGTCAGCTTTATCATTTATTACATTTGATGGATCCAGTTCCAGAAATTATATTATTTACGTGTAAAAATCCTGGAAGAATGTGAGTCTCACTGGGTTAGCTACAGTATGCTTACCTTGTCCAGACTCCACCATGAAAATACATGCACAAGGCCTTACTCCCCACCTCCCTCTCTCTCCCGGGACTCATTATTGAATTCCTTAAGATGGAAGAGTCTGATATCTCTCTTATACAGACATCTTGTTACTTTGGTCCTTTCTCTTGCTGTCCTTTTCTTAACATTTTGATATCATTATTTCATGTAACAGTCCTCGTCAAAGAGAGAAGCGGAGGAAAGACTGAATGAGGTGTCCTTTCTATCTTATTGGAACATCTTGTCCTAATTTTTTTATGATGATTCTTATGTATTACAGTTATTGCAGGGCATTCAAAAAGTTGAACATATTTTTTATCGAGAAGGGAAAATTGTTGACGATTTGTTGGGCATTGCCAAGGTTGGGAGAACCATTGGATTGAGAATATTTCTTTTAAACAATTGTTTCCTCTGCTACATTGCATATTTACTTTTAAACTTTACAGACTTTAAGAGCAATGCCTGTAATTAGCTTGGAAACACCTACACTCTGCCTTGTTGGAGCTCCTAATGTAGGAAAATCTTCCTTGGTCCGTGTACTCTCTACTGGAAGCCTGAGGTGTACAACAGAATCCTTGACTCTCTTTTGTCATAATTCATGCTATGTTATGATTCTGATTTTTTTTTTTGGCCAAAAATGTCCTGATTTTGCTGGACTACCACTCTTCTTTTGTGTTTATGTGACTGATGGCTGCACACATTTTATTTTATTTATTCCTCTAGTTTTAGCTGTAATTTAGTCGTTGTATATTTTTTTCTTCTCATCTCCATTTATTTAATTGATATTATCTTGTATTCAAATCAATTTGATTAGCTGATGCTGATCTATGGATTCTCATGTATGACTCTCAACCTGAATGTATGTATGTTTCAACTCTTATAGAGTGTAAGCTGAATCAGAGAGTCATTCCACTCTGATTTTTCACTTCAGAGCAACAATATGCCTGATCATCCCTCTGTTATATTTGGTCACTTTTGCTCCAAGGAGCGCGCAGGGCCTCTCCTGCTCTCATCACTGGGCATAGGCTCTTTAGAAGTAATTGCCTCGGTGGTCATCCAGAGTTCTGATGTAAAGGGAAAAGGCTAGGTTGGTTACTTGATGGGTACTTCTCTCAGTGTTAATGACCCAAAAACTAAGATTTGATATTCTGAAAACAACAAATAATTTCCTGATTAATCAATTCCATAACAAATGATATTGGAAAAATTTCCTTCTATTGTTAGAAGAGTACGATAAATGCAGGAAGCAGTGAGGGAGAAGTTCTCTTCAATGGAAAATACCACCTTGCTACTTGAGATTGAAGGGCTTATCCATGATTTGAGACAATGAAAGATGGGGATCATTCAATGCCACAACACACTTATGGAGTTCTAGCAATAAATTAATCTCTGTTAGATTCACAAATATTCTTGTGTAGTTGATGCTACCTACTTCAAGAAAGGTAGGAAAAAGATTTTATTAACAACTCCTCGGGCTGAAATATTTTATTGCCTCCTAATTGGCTTGTAATGTACCATCAAGTAATAGTAGCAGAGATCTTTGCAGTGTGTTCTGGTATCCCGGCATAGGTATTAGCGCTAGTGAGGATGCAATAGTCCTTGGACTGCTTGATTTTCTCGTTCCAGTGACATTGCTAATTCAGAGTATGAAAGACTCAAGTTCTGTCGGTTCAATCATGAAAACTAGGGTACACATAGGGGGAAGATAGCAGCGAATGACCTGCCACTCCACCCATGAAATGAGGGCATTCAAAAATTAAAGAACAGTAGATATGATGGTACAAGGGAAGAGCAAATAGGAGGCATTGTTAGACTAAAAAGGAAATAAAATCTGTTATTCAAACATGATTTTCTAGCACTAGAATATCTCTTGATCTCTAACACCATGAAAAATGAAAGCAAACGGAACAATAAGGAGATGTAGAAACAGATGGGAACAAGAAGCAGAGGAGATACAAGGCTTTTCTTAATGTTTGATGTATCGTCCATGGCATTTATATGCAAAAGAATGAAAAAATTATGGCAGAGACAAATACACAGAATCAAGAAAAATTAGTAGACAGTAGTTATGCTGGGTAAATGTCTCAATTCCATCAATCCCCTGGCTATTTGCTACCTTGTTCACATGTGCTTCGTTTGGCATATCTGATATGGTTCGTGAACTTAAGCCAAAAAAGTCATTTGCACAATTTTGTTGTACTTAAGTGAAAGTATGCTATTCTTAATTACAGGTGTTGATTAGCTCTATTCTTATCTTTCACAATATACTTCAGCTAAAGCTGCAAAACCACATTTGCACTTAAGATTCCACAGGCCATATAATGTTAACATTTATCCTTTGATTTCTCTCTGGCGTTTCAGGTTTGCAACTATCCCTTCACAACAAGAGGGATTCTTATTGGTCATATTGTTTTGAACTATCACAAGTTTCAGGTTCAAATTGTCTCTAGCCTGTTTTTTCTTTCTTTTTTTTTTTCAATGGTTTTTCTTTCACTACCCATCTAATTATATACCTGATTCAACTGTAGGTTACAGATACACCAGGCCTACTGAAGAGACAATATGGTAATGAAACTTCCATTTGTTTTTCTTAAACTATATTACTGTGATGAATTTTTAGTTTCATAGTCGCTTATTGTTATGTATCTATGAGATTTTCTGTTTTTTTAATTACAGGTCCTTTATATATTGGTTGGTTTGAGGATTAATTTGGCTTAGAGTAGCGGCTGTGATCAATTTTTAGGTCGTCAATTTCTTGCCTTTTTTAACTTATATTTGTTATCTATATCTGAGTTTTTGCGATAGTCTTTGAATGGATTCCCTCTGGTAAGCTGATAGCTCATTTGATTTCCATGTGGATGGATGGTTGGAACTTGGAATTGTCTTTCCTTCGGTTGGTGAAATCTATTGCAACTCTTCAGGCATCTAGGATGCCTCTTGTTACTATTTAATCTTGCTTTAGGATCCCAGTTGCAGTAGCAGATGGAATGAATGCAAATGATTAGGGGATACATTTTGTGACTCAGGGCAATAGGAAGAAGAGTCGCTGAGTTGGGAGATCTGCCGTAGGACTGAGTATAGATTTAAAAAAAAAATAAAAAAAATAAATTCAGGGGGGAGGTTTACTTTCTTTAATCTGGTGTCTAAAATGGAGGGAGTAGGATGTTATAGCTACAGCTAATGCTCCTTGATTCCTTGAAAGCCCACAAGCAACTTCCATGTTCTTGGGGTGAATTGTCAAGTCTCAGTTATCCACTCAATCAGTTATATTGAATTTAGTACCGTTGATATGTTCTCTCTTTTGACATGATTTTTGTGTGTCTTCCTGGTTTGTATATTCAGAAGACAGGAACAATTTAGAAAAGTTGACACTTGCTGCCCTTTCACATTTGCCAACTGCAATTTTGTATGTCCATGACCTTTCTGGGGAGTGTGGCACTTCACCTGCTGATCAGGTATTATTGGTTCCGTCTTCTGCAACATCTTGATTATTAGAATAATTGCAATGTGTCGTGAAACTTATTTCATGCCAGTGGCAATGTGGAGGGTTCCAAGTAATAATGCAAGAGTTGGAAATTCATTTCGCACATCTTGGAAATTCATGGACTAAGATGTTTTAGATTAAGAGTTAAAAGTTTGTAGGCACCCTCACATTCTATCCATGTTCACATCAAACTTTTTAAAATAAAATGCTTATGATGATGATGATGGAGGATCCAAAAGTACTCAGAGTGACATGATTAGGTACGGCTTGAATTTCAAGCACCCAAAATGTCATGGTGATACACTGAAATTGAGAGAATTTGAGACCAAAACTTATAAGATCTTTATGAAGAGAATGTGATTGACAACGAGATATTCTTAAAAAAGGTATCCCTCTACTCATTTGTTAAGGAGGTTGTTAACTAAAATGATGATACCCACTTGAGAATAAACAGTGTCCAAGTAAAACTGAAGGGAGCTAAGCTTATGCCACTAAGATCTGCAAATTTTGTGTTTGTCCTTGCTCTCTATGTATTATATAGTTAGGTCGCTGAAGCTTACTGTTCTTTTGGATAGACTGGTGACTATTGCCTGTACATCTATTTCATATGCGACATAGAGGAAAAAAAAAAAAAGAAAGGAAGAAACGAACGAACGAACGAAAAAGAATCCATTCAATTTGCACGTTTGGGTCTAGTCTTGTGTCTTTTTTCTTTTTGCCTTACGTCACTCTCTCTCACCCCACCAACAAGCATGCACGGACACTCACTTTTCATTTTAAGAGAGTTTGGAGTGTATAAATGATAAGAAATGATCAGTTTTTTGATTATTTTTCTTTTGTAAAAGATAATGCTGAGTTTATGATGTTTGCTTATGCAGTTCAGCATATACAAAGAAATAAGGGAAAATTTTACTGAGCACTTGTGGCTTGATGTTGTTTCCAAATCTGATCTGTTGGAAAAGGCTCCAGTAATCTATGCCACAGAATATGCAGATCCTGAACAGCTTGAGCTGTTGAAGTACCGGATTTCAGGACCTGATGGAGCTATTCATGTCTCTGTAAAAACAGAACAAGGACTTCATGAGGTGAGATTCTCTTATTAATTATTCAGTTTTCACTTTTCACTACTCCTTTACTTGTAATTCCCCTTATTGAAATATGCTTCCCTACTGATGGAAAATTAGGAAAACTAGGAAAGGTTTATTGGATGCTTTAGTAATTTATTTTTATTTTGCTTTCTGAGGTTGTTTTCCATTCTATGCTTTCTTTTACTTGATGTTTAAGTCAGTTTTTCTTTTACTTTTTATTACAAGCCGCAGTTTATTTTATTTTAGGTTAAGTTATTATTATGCTATTTCAGTCTCTATAAATAGTCTTTACGATTAACTGCATTGTAGACCTTTTGAAAAGTTATTACTGGGATTATTTACCCTCAATTCTCTATCCCTCCTCTCTGTTTCTCCCTATAATTCTTTACTTCTCCGTCCTTCTTCTACCTCTCATTCTCCTTTTAAGTCCCTTGTTCTTCCTCTTTCTTCTTCCTTCTTTTCCCCCTTTGTTCTACATCAGTGGCCATGAAAGATGTGCGGAAGCTATCAAACGGGGATTTCTACTTTTAACAAATTGTACGGTAATGCTTTGTAAGATATAAAATATGAATAACCTTTGATGGTCAATATTGGGCATCCTCATTTTTCTTCATTATTTGAACTTTTACCTTGGATAAAGTCACTTCTTGAAATAATGTCAGTTTTCTACCCACTATATCAGCATGATCAAGGATCCTCACTCTACTTCGTAGCAAATTTTGAATCATAGGCATTAAATTTGAATCATCTAGATTTTTAATTTTATTTTTCTTTGATTCTTTTTTTGTTATACGAGAAGCAAAATGTAAAATATTGTGAATAAAAAAGAAATAGCATAATGAATAAAAAAAAAATTAAAACATAAAATGATCCAAATGAAACGTGAACAATTTAGAAGTGGAAATTAAAGTAAAGATCCCCTCAATTGCTTGAATTGGGGGCATCCAAACTCATGCATTGGTCATATATATTGTAAAGTTTCTGATATCATCTAACAAAATTCCTTAACACAAGTCTGCTTTTCTTGTGCAGCTGAAATGCAGAGTGCGTGAGCTGCTTAATTTGCAGATGGCTAAGATAAATGATATGAGCAAGAACCAACAAAAGTGATAAGTTTTGTTCTTAGAGGACACCAGATCTGTGAAGCAACATCACAGCTGAAAAAAGGGAAGCTTTACTCGTCGTACAACCCTTGGCACCATGGCAATTAAGGGGGGCTTGCTTTCTGGTTACAATTAAGCATGGAATGGTAAGTCATGAGATACTTCTGTGGCATGTTTGACACTGGTGAGTTTTGAAGAAATGAAGCCCTTGAAGAAACTAGATCTTTGGTGTTGGAAATTGTTGGGGCTAGATAGAACCGTGATGTAATTAAATTCTTTGTTAGAAATAATTAAACTTTTCTTGCATGTTTTCTTGTTTTTGGCATTGTTACTCTTCCTCTATCAGTCTCTTATCTTTCGCAAGAATTTTTTATGCCATGCTCTATGTAATTATTTGGGGATTTAAGCCCCCACAAGTTACAGGATGACTCGTTTCAAAAGAAAAACCTTAATTTGGATTTTGGTGTCTGAAAATTATACATGGGTTAAAATATAAATTTGCCTTCGAAGTTTTTTTTGGAGGCACGTTTGGTGTTTTAAAGTATTTAAAGATACAATTTTATCTTAATATTTTTCAAGACGGTGCAAATTTGCTCTGCATTAACAGATCCTAATGATTGACTATTAGTTGACCAATTTTGCTTACATGGCATGCTCACGTGGCTTCCACGACCTCTTTCATCTTCTTTTTCATGTTTCTGTTGCCCTCCCTCTCTCTCTCTCTCCCCCCTCCCCTCTCTCTCTCTCAATTCTTCTTCCAACTCTACCTATCGCTTCCTTCACTCTCCTAATTCATCTTCTACCTAACAACCATACAAACCCAATAATTAGGAATGGATCAAAGGTCTGCGAGAATGAGTTAGGGGAACTACAAGGATGAAGACAGAGATGGGGTTACTGGTTAGGATACCAAGCTCAGATCTCATCATCGTCTGAGCCAACATTGATAGGAGGCTATAAAACCTAAATCAAACCACAGAGTGCTGACGGAAGGCTAAAAAACTTGGGTTGAAGATCGTGGTCGCCAGATGCCTTTCGCGATGACGCTTGGCTTTGACGAAAAGGGAACTAGAAGAATCGACGCATCAAGAGTGCGGATGAGGACGTGGATGAGAACCATAAGCCAACCCTCGCTACGCCGTCATCCAATTCTGATAATCCCTCTCCTCTTGACAATCCCCACACCTCCGTTTTTGATCTAGGTACACAACCCACATATCTTTCTTATTTATCGTTTTTGAATTTGACTATAGATTAATCTGACAGCAATGGATGAATCTGATTTTGTGTTTTGGGGTGTGATTGTAATGATGAAGGGGACAATCCACAGATGGTGTAGCGAAGGCTGAGGTAGTGGGCTCAAGTGGTTGCTGTGCTCAGAGTTAAGGTTTAATTGTCAACGGCACTGAGCAAAAACTTTCGTCTTCCTCCTCATCGTCGTTCCCTTGGGAAAAGAATGGCAAGCTTGTGGCGATTTGATTTTTACTCTGCTTTGATTTTGATTTTCACAATTTGTTTCTTTCATATCAAATCGCTTTTGTTTTCAAATCAACAAATTGTTTATTGGATTTTTTTTTTATTGTAATGATTTGTTTGTTCCATATCAATTTTGATTTTAAATTGACGAATTGTTTGTTGAGTTATGATTTTGATATCAATTTCCCCATAAGTAGCCCTATGTTTGCTCTAAATTTTTTTACTGCTCTGCAACCTTTTCAGTTGTTCTGATTTGTATGGATGCCTGTATACTCACGTGTTTTGTTGTTTGTATTATTGGCTGGATATTATTAAATATTTAACGTGTTTTGTTATTTGTATTCTTGGCTGGATATTATTAAATATTTAATGGTGGATGCTTTGTTTTAGGGAAGATGAGTGAAGAAGAAGAGAGAGATGAAGTGTGCAAAGCTAGGTAAGTGAAGAAAGAGGAAAGAGAGGAGAGTAAATGTAACATGGATGTCACATCAACACTAACGGTCAACATAATCAAATTGTTAGATAAGGCAAAATTGTACCATTTTTAAAATATTAGGGGTAAAATTGTGCTTTTAAATATTTTAAGATACTAATTGCACCTAAAAAAAACTTCAAAAGTAGATTTATACTTTAATCCATGTTTTATATGTGCTTGATATTCAATGTAACTTGTTGTCAGTCAAATGTATGACCTCTCACCTAAATTGCCTTGCCATCTTTGATAAATTTCACTATTGGGAAAGATGATTGACAATATTAAGAAATACAATGGGCTCTATTACCTTAAAGGGAACCTCACCAACAAAAGTTGTTTGGCTGATTTTACTTACAATTTTGTTTCCAGTTTTTCTATTATGTCTCAAGATGACATTATGCTATGGCATTTTAAACTAGGTCATTCAAGTTTTGATTATATGAAAATCTTGTTTCCCGATTCCATGAATAAAAGTAGATTTTATTGTGACACTTGTCAATTTGCTAAGCAAGCTCGTACTTTTTTCCCTTCGACTTCTTTTACTCACACCAAACTTTTTGCTTTAATCCATAGTAATGTTTGGGGTTCTTCTAGGATTGAAACTAATTCTGAGGCCAAGTAGTTTGTCACTTTTATTGATGATCATACTCATCTAATATGGCTATTTTTAATGAAAGATAAATATGAAGTTTGTGCTATGTTTAAGAACTTCTATATCTTTCTGCTATGTTTAAGAACTTCTATATCTTTGTTCACAACCAATTTCAAACTTCTATAAAAGTCCTTTATAGTGACAATAGAACTGAATATATCAATTTAAATTTCTAAAACTTTGTTGTTGAAAATGGAATCCACTTCCAGACATCTTGTGTTCATTCTCCTCAATAGAATGGGGTGGCCAAGAGAAAAAAATAGACCTTATAGAAGTTGCTAGGCCACTCTTGCTAGGGAATAATGTGCCACAGATTTTAAGGAGATGTAATCCTTACAGCTGCATATCTCATCAACCGCATGCCATCCAAGGTTTCAAATTTTCAAACTCCCATTAATATGTTTTTGATATCTTTCCTAACTCTCATTTGGTTAACTCCCTTCCTATAAAAGTTTTTGGGCGTACTATCTTTGTGTACTATCTTTGTGTTTAATGATGAAGGTGGTAAGTTTCAATCTCGATCCCTCAAGTGCATTTTCTTGAGATGTTCCTCTACAAAACAGGGATATAAGTGTTATTCTCTTGAAACTCATAAGTTCTATGTCACTATGAATGTTAAGTTTGTTGAATCATTACCATTTTATCCCAAATTACCCATTCACGGGGAGAGTGATAGTGAATGGTCAATTTGTGCCATAGATAATGGTAATGGTCATTTCAATAACAACCCACAAACTAGCAGCTCTAGTATTAGTCCTCATATTAGTCCTTAAATATCACTAGACCCGTTCTCTATTGATTCTTGTCAACTTTCTAACAATACAAATTATGTCCCCATTGTTTTAGAACTTGAAACAGCTTTACCCGACCCTGATTCACCTATGATTGGATCTGAAACATAGCCTATCCAATCTAAACCTATGTATAATCATCCTCCTAGTCCAGAACAGCTACCTACCACCTCTCAAGAACCTAATCTTGAACCACACTTGGATGCAACAAGGACGAATCAAGCTGAATAGCACACAAATAGTAAAGATCCCATTGTTATTCCATAGCAAAGTCATGATTCTCAACCTGAGGTTAATCCTAAAGATCTCCAGTGGCCTGTTGCTCTTAGAAAAGGTAAAAGAAGTTGTACTCAACATCTCATTGGCAGCTATGTTTGTTATGACAAGCTTAATTCTCAATTTAAGAACTTTGTTGTTACTGTTGATAGTGAGAATATACCCAAGACCTTTAAGGAAACCATATCTAATCTTAAGTGGAAATTAGCCATTGATGAAGAGTTGAGAGCTTTAGATAAAAATCAAACTTGAGAGATTGTGGATTTACCTTATGAGAAGTCAGTTGTAAGAAGTAAATGGGTTCTTATTAAGAAATATAATCCTAATGGCAGCCTTAATAAATATAAAGCTTGATTGGTTGCCAAAGGTTTTACTTAAACCTACAGCATTGATTATCAAGAGATATTTGCACTAGTGGCTAAATTCAAATACTATAAATGTATTACTTTCTCTTATTGCTAACTTGGATTGGCCATTACATCAGCTGAATGTTAAGAACGCCTTCTTGAATGGGGACTTGGAGGAGGAAATATACATGGAGATTCCCTTGGGATTATGTGGTCTAGAAAACAAAAATAAATTATGTAAACTCAATGTCAGACTAATCATACATTTTTTGTAAGACAATTTGGTCAAAAAATAACTATGTTAATTGTGTATGTAGATGATATAGTGCTAATAGGAAACAATGATGAAGAGATTATGAAGTTGAAAGAAAGACTAGCTAAAGAATTTGAAGTTAAAGACCTTAAAAATTTGAGGTATTTTTTGGGCTTGGAGGCAGCTCACTCATCAAAAGGCATTAATGTATCTCAAAGAAAATATAATCTAGATTTACTAGAGATTGAAATGTTAGGAGTTAGAGCTACAGAAACCCCAATGGAACTCAATTGTAACTTGGAAGTGAAACTTGATGGGAAAGCTGTGAATAAAGAAAGTTACCAAAAATAATGGGAAAACTTATTTATTTATCCTACACTACACCATATATATCTTTTGCATTAGGAGTTGTGAGCCAGTTTGCAAGTAATCCTCAAAAAGAACATATGGAAGCTGTATATAGGATTCTTAGATATTTAAAAACTACTCCAGACAAAGGATTATTTTTTCTCAAAAGGGGATAAGAAGGATGTGGAGATTTGTATAAATGGAAATAAGAGGACTCTGGGTTCAAAAAATGTAACGGATGAAGAGATTTTCACTTATACAGATTGGAAAGTTCTATTCATGATAGGCGCTTTACAACAGGCTATTGCATCTTCGTGTGGGGTAATCTGGTCACTTGGAGAAGCAAAAAAACAACCAATAGTTTCAAGAAGCTTAGTAGAATTTGAATATAGAGCATTAGCTCTTGGGATTTGTGAAGGTATATGGGTTGTACAACTACTTAAGGAACATAGGATGGAAATGAAAGTCCCTATCAAAATTTGGTGTGACAGCATGACTGCCCTCAAAATTGCAAACAATCCTACTCAACATGATTGCACGAAGCATGTTGAGATTGATAGGAACTTTATTAAAGAAAATATTGAAGCACAAGTCATAGGTCTGGCTTATATTCCTTCAAGAAAATAAGTTGCAAATATGATGACCAAGCCTCTAGCTAAAATCAAGTTTGATGAAATGATTAGCAAGCTAGGAATGATCAACATCTATTCGCTAGCTTGAGGGAGAGTGTTGAAAGTAGGCTAATTGGGCTAAGGGCTTTAGGCCCATTAGTCTACTAAACCTAACCCTAGATTTAATTTCTAATAGTTAGCAGATTATTATTATTAGAATAAATTAGTT